TCATCAAGTAAGTGGATGCTACTATACATGCTTTTCCTCCAATATTTATCTTCTTTTTAAGTAATATTTACATATATATGATTGTTATCGTTTTCAGTGAGAAGGGTGTCAATGTAAGAGGATACTTCGCATGGGCTCTTGGAGATAACTATGAATTCTGTAAAGGATTTACCGTCAGATTTGGACTCAGCTACGTTAATTGGGATGATCTCGACGACAGAAACCTCAAGGAATCTGGCAAATGGTACCAAAAATTCATTAATGGGACTGTCACGAATCCTGCGAACCAAGGTTTCCTCCGTTCAAGCCTCTCCTCTCAAAGTCAGATGAAGAGGGCTTGTTGATGCATGAAAAACTTTTCCCTCTTCAAGATCATCTCTATGTCTCCCACACTTCCTAGTTGCTCCATAGATAAGGAGCTTCTTCTACCTACAATGTACTAAATAAAAACTCTGAATAAAAAGATGATCAGTTATAATGAATAAAAATAATTATCTACATTTATTATTGTATTATGTCAAGTCCAAGGATGGGTTAGAAGAAAATAACATAATCTAAGCAGAAAAACACTCAAATACACATACAAAATAAATAAAAAATCGAAACCGTAAACTAGAATAAGTTTAGTGTAATAAAATTATAACGAACCGATTAACCTAAATTCACTAATTAGTTTAGTAAATTCAACTTTATATAGTAAAAATTTATTTTAAAAATCTCTATAATATTAGATGAGAATTCAATTTCCTACATGTAAGGCTTACATTAATTCTAACGATGGTTAATTACATAAATACTTTTAATGAATTAAAATTATTTCTATAATATTATTTGAGAATTTAGTTTCCTACGTATCGTGCTCACGTTAATCTTTATGATGATTAGTTACATAGATACATTTAATGAGTAAAAAGTATTACATTTAAGTACTATTATTAAAATTTTATTTTGTAATTTCTGTGAATAAGGTTTTTAATTTAGTTTAATTTTTTTACATTTTCCAAATAAAATTATACAACAAAAGGGAAACATTTATAAAGTAAAAAAATGATAACATGAGTATATATAATATGATTTCATGAAAATAAATATTTCACAAAAAAGAATATTATCTTTGATATATATTTTGAACAACATTAAATATATTTTCAAAGTGACAAAAACAGTTTCTGTATATCTATCTTTTTCTTAGATGAAAATAAAAATATATTTGTGCATAATGTTATTTCATACAAAAGTACACAATAATAATCTTGATATTAAAAACAAAAATTATTTTACAAAATATAAAATATATATTTTTCAAAGTAATTGAAATTCGTTATGTATCTATGTATTTTCTTAGATGATTACATTTAAGTAACATTAACTGATTGTTTAATTGACTAAAAATAGTTTGTATCTAGTAATATAAAAATATTATTTATTTTTCATAATCTTTTGCTTACTACAAAGATCTTACAATTACAGAAAAAAAAATATCTATAAACTATATTTTACTTATATACTATGATTTCTCAAAAACATTCAGAAAACAAATTGTGCTTATTTTAAATGGGATTAAAAAGAAACTAAAATAGTGTAATAAGCATATTTTGATCAAATAATTAAAAAATAATTTAAAATATCATAACACTATAACGAGGTATAATTATTATATTTTATCTTTATTAATATTTTTTGAATATTTAGTTTTCTATTTTTTAACTTTATGTTTGTGGAACTTAATATACCATAATCAAAATAGGGCTTTTTGCAGAACTGACCTGAAACTTGAAGTCAACCACAAAACTAACCTCCTTTTTGTTTGGAACTTTATTTTGCCCAATTCACCCCACAAGTTCATATAATTCACGAAAATGCCATCAATTTTTTTTTTTCGAAAATAACATATTTACTCTCTCACCCTCATCATCTTCAAGTAATTACAAGATTGCCATTGTCATCAATACTCCAACAACCATGACCAACCAATTTTGAAGCTCTTAATGCCTCCAAATTCCATTTACCCTTCTTCTTTCTCTATTCTCATGAACTAAACAACACATTACAACACATATCTCTTCTCACTTTCTCTCCACAATGAGCTAAAAAAACCCAAGATTTTGATTCTACATTTTTTAGGGTTCATAAAGTCAAAGAAATTAAAGATTCAAGGTGGATTACCTTTGTTTGAGCTCCTGAGTGCTTGATTCTACATTTTCTAGGGTTCATATAGTCAAAGAAAGTGCTCTCACCAATTGAAGGTATGAAATCGAGTTATTTTTTGTGATCTGTTCGTCCAGACGACTGAAATTTCAGTCGTCTGATTTCGTCCAGTCAACGCAGAAGTTATATTTGCAATTGACTTTGCAATTTGTTTTCAGAGACGACTGAAATTTCACTCGTCTGCTTTATTTTGGCTACAAAAAAATATCTTAAGAATCTAGACGACTGATATTTCAGTCGTCGTATGTTAGTTTTGCATTTGACTAAAAAATTTCAGAATTTTGACTTTCTAGGACGACTGAAATTTCAGTCGTCTGCGCGAAAACTGAAAGATCAATTTTTTATTGGAACGCACGACTTACAATAGGTTAGTTTTGCAATTGTGAAAAAAAAACTTTAACTTTCTAGACGACTGAAATTTCAGTCGTCCTTGGGACGACTTACAATTCAGTCGTCCAGGATTTTATTCCGAGATTCTGGTCAAACCTCGTATATCCTAGACGACTGAATTATAAGTCGTCCCAGGGACGACTGAAATTTCAGTCGTCTAGATTTTTTTAAATATTGAAGTTTGTTTTCGCAATTGCAAAACTAACCTACGACGACTGAAATGTAAGTCATCCAATTTCAATAAAAAAATTGATATTTCATTTTTTCGCAGACGACTGAAATGTAAGTCGTCCTAAAAAGTCAAACTTCTGAAATATTCTAGTCAAATGCAAAACTAACATTCGACGACTGAAATTTCAGTCGTCTGGATTTTTTTTATCAAACATACCCAGACGACTGATATGACTAAACATTCAGTCGTCCCAACTAACTAATTTCAAAGTCAATTGCAAATATAACCTCTGCGTTGACCAGACGACTGAATGTTTAGTCGTCTGGACGACTTACATTTCAGTCGTCTGCTTCGATCTCTAATAAACTTTCTTTTTCTTTCTTCTATGTTTGCTAATGTGTTTTATTTTTACTATCTCAGATGATGTATCAGTTACGTGCAGTGTATGGAGAATGGTTGTTGGAAGATGGTTGTTGGAATTTTGTGGTTGATCGTTTCAAAGGAGCAAGATTGTTTTTATTGAATGAAGATTCAACACATGCTGAACTTGTGGCAATGGCTCAAGAAGATTATAACTTAGACATGAGCACAGTCACTGTGGAGATTAGCTACTCATTACCAGCTCCAGACCTTCCTCCTGTTCATGTTACAAGTGATAGACAAGTTCGAAACTTGCTCGAGATAACCAAACGCAAGAAGTACGTCTTTGTGTATCAAGCTTTTTCAAGATGAGAACGGTTTCAGAGGAAAGGGATGAAGCTGAGGATGCAGCTGATGTGGGGGATGAAACTGATGTGGGGGATGAAGCTGATGTGGGGGATGAAGATCAGGAGGGGGATGTAGCTGAGGATTATGATAGGGAGGAGGATGCTGACATCCCTGTTGTCACTGAAGATTTTTATGATCCTGAGAATTACAGTCAATTTGGAAAGATTAAAGACGAGGATGAGGAAGAAGATGATGAAATTTGTTTTGAAGATTACGGAGAGGCATATGGTTGTGAGGGAAAAGGATCATCTGCAGAAAGAATCTATGTAAACCAGAGTTTTACTAGCAAGGATGCACTGCTTTCAGAGTTGCGGCTGAGCGCGGTGAGGCGCATGTTCTCCTTCAGAATTTACAAGTTAACAAAAACTCTCTTTGTGGCAACATGTCGGGTTAGTGGTTGTCAATGGAAGATCAGAGAAAGTGTGAAACATGGGACTAAGACGTTTTGGGTAACCAAGTATTTGAAAACTCATACATGTTCCACCGGAGACAGAATCGCTGGGCGGAAACACTCTACTCCGAAGTACATTGGTCGACTCTTCGTAGATCGTGTTGGAATCATTGATGGGTTGAATCCGCAGCATATCAAAGATGCAATGAAGAACATGTTTGGCATGACACTTGATTACACCACTTCATACAGAGCATTGTTATCTGCGCAAGAATTGGTGAGAGGATCCGCGGAAGATGGGTATGAGCGACTTCCTTCATATTTGGACCAAATC